TAAACGGCACTAACTAAACTTTATTGTAAGCACAGTGATCACTTATAGAAATATTATTTATGTTAGAAAGCGGTAAGACATGATTAATTTTTGCACGGTAAAGTGACAATTTTAATATGATAAAAGTTGTAGTGTTCTTTTTAACGAGTACAACGTATAAACAATAATTTTGAGAACAACGATACATTTCGAGTTCGACTTAACATGCCTTTTTTAGATAGAACTAGACAAAATATGCGCGCGCTACGCGCGCGCCAATTCGACACGACACGGAAGTTAAACGTGACACAATCGAGCTTAGAACAACCAATTAGCATCGCGGAAAAGAAGCAACAATGAATTCGACTCAGCCACAACTTCAACATAACACGGATTTTTTATTAATGGAATGGAATGGATATTATCGTTTGTCATTTTACAGCAATTTTGAATGTATCAACATGCCCCATGTATCAACCAACTCAGATTTCCCATATTTTGCAAGTGAACAGTTGTCGATTTATTTTGATTTTCAACATTACGTGGCTTCGCGGGCTCATAATACTTTGCAATTTAGATAGTACATTGGAATAGACACGCGTTTGTATGTATTGCCTAATTTCCACGTCCTTATCGTTTGGAATACAGAAAAACGAAGAAACGTTTATACAAAGCTATTACATGGGGCGATAATTATTTGACCATACATTATTTGACTATACATTATTTGTATAAGGGAAGGGGAGGGGGCAAGTAGTGACAGGGAGCAAATAGTGTCACTTTAAATTTCTCCTTGGTTCCGCGTCTATTTTACCATTACTCGTTAATAGAAAGATAGTAATTAACCATCTAATCATTCTGAAAAATTAAAAGCCAAATAAGTTATAATAAGAGAAGTCTGAAATTTTGCATTCGTTAAATAAGATAAAACCTGGATCTGTTTTTGGAATTTTAAGTTATATTTTCTTAATTGCTGAATCGTTAAATGAGATATATCTAGTCTATTCTATATCATACGGTACCTTTTTTTCTATTTTGATATAATTCCTATACTTATATATTAATTTTATTTCTCTGAGTAAAGTTTTAAAGGAAAAAGCAACTCCTTGGGGCAAGTAATAATAACTTTTAGTGAGCTAAATAATGATAAGTCAAAAAGTTTTTTTATATTTGAATATTTTTCTAATTTATATGGGATAATATGAGATTAGTCACAAGGCAAAATAAAAAATAAATGTGATTTTCAATAAAAAATACTAGTCTACGACTAGTTTGTTAATGCTTGTTATACTAGATTGATGAAATTGGACATTTATCTTTAAAATACAATTTAATAGATCGGAAGAGCACA